AACACCCGGTGGAAAGAGGAAATTTTCCGTTGTTACAAAAGTTTCCAGTTCATTTTGTACAGACTGACCAAAATCTGGAATAATACGTGAAATATTAATGTCAAAATCTTCCCTTGTAGGACCGGATGAGTCACCTTGTTGCTGTCGATCTTCTTTTGTGGGTAAACGAAGATAGTAAACTAATGCAATAGATAAAATAATACTACGCTTCAATCGCTGCTGCTCGTGGCCATCGCCGATAAGACTGGGCGATGACCAAAAGAAATTGATTATGTGAAAGCACCGTTCGATTTCTCGTTGACTAACTGCATTTTTACTTAAGCGAGTGGAACAAAAAGTGTGAGCAAACAGCATGGCTTTGCACAATGTTTTGTCGAGATAATCGCGAAGGTGAAGATTTTCAACGAGTTCTGTATTAAACATAGAAATCTTCCGACGGACATACACTTCCAATTGAGACAACGGAAGCGAAGAATAAGTACATTTTAGACGTTCTAGTGCAGTCGGTAGTTCGTTCACTAAATAATCGGACCGGTGGATAATAGATGCATTTGTCGGAGCATTGTTCTTACTATGTGGATTTATAGCAGCAGTGAAAAAAATATTTTCGGGTAGAGGACGTCCTTGCAAAGCTCTGTCCATCAGCATCTCTTTGAACAAACCTAAGCAAGATGATGTGTTGACTTCATCGAAAAATACAACTAGTTCCGCCGAATTCAGTTGTTTTGCAAGAACTATTATTGGGTCCATGAATTGTTTTAATTGTGGCTCTGTGATGCCTGGATGAAGAAGCAGTCGATAGAATAGAGGTTTTATGGTTGAGTGACTGATAAATTCACTGAGCATTCGTATGCCTTCAGTAAGCGAGAGTTTAGACTGTAGTCCTCTTAATAAATGCTGCAGGTGAGCGCTACACGTGAGAAGATGAGTAGTTGCCAGTCTTTCTTCAATATGTGCCCATAATTGTTTCTTTAACATAACTGATAAAGTCGATGTAGACTCACCTCCGTCAGTGTCATTTTGAATGTTAGACTCTTCTTTCTCAGTAATTCGCAGAATACACTCCCACAACTTTTGTAATTCGTCAGCCGTATATAGGAAGGCTTGTAATGCGTCCTTCACTTCTACCGCTTTCAGATTGAACCCATCAACTATACTATTGTATCGATATATGTCATTCAGACTAATGTCAGTACTGGTACTATGGTCATCATCAGCTGTGATACATTTTGTTGTTCCATCGGCTTCAGAGCTGAACGTTTGAGCGACTTTATAGAATATTGTAGGACCAATTAAGGGAAGAATTGTTGTTAACAACCATAAACTTGTTTTCTCCAGCAAACATGGAGCGATATCAAGAGCTCGATCAATCAAGATCCTTGTATTTAGTAATAACGAGTAAAAATGTAATAAATACGTTTTACCCACGCCTAAAAGGAAATAAAAATAGAAATTAAGATCAATATTACGACTGTCTTTGCTATTAAAGCCGTTACCTGTGTCTCCTTCAATGATGAGCGGCGTACGAGTTAGCTTCCTTTCGTGTAAATGAAACAATTTGTACGTTGTATTTTCTGTTAGAACAAATTTTGTTTGAATTAATAGGGTATTGAAATGATTTTCAGGAACATTGAGCAACCAGGACAGTAAAATTGCATGTCGATCTTTTCCCACAAACACGTCCCTCTCCAGCGGATCGTTATTTTTAAATAGATTCTTGATTTGTTCGGGCACAGCCATCCAGTTTGGATGCAGTAATTGCAACGAAAATCCTGGGTCATACACGAAGTAGACTTTGCGAAAATTTTCATTCTTGAAATCAATATCCGCAAGGCTTTTGGCTTCTTCAATCATTTGTCGAATAACAATTGAGCCAAGGTTTGGTATTGAAGTATTGTATTGATAATAAGGGAAGAGAAAAAATTGAAAACGGCGTGAAAGAAATTGTATGAAACTTTGAAGTGATAGTTTGTCCACATCAGAATCGGTCGTTGCTTTTAATATTTGTGTACGACATTCTTGCTGGTCACTTAACATTGGAAATTCAATCGGTTTGTCTCCGAGGATACTTGATCGATATCTCTGTCATAGTACGCTTTCAAAAAACGCGCAACAAGTTCTTCTTTTCTCCCGATGTGTAATTCATAATTGTTGTTGTCGATCTCTTCAACATCAGAAGCACATAAAAGTGCGAGTACGGGAAGTGTTTGTTCGAAACTTTTGTCAACTGGTATTTGGGCGTTTTCCACGTAAGGTATCTCAATGATGAATTTATAGTTGACAGTTTTTGCCAGGGTAAATACGAGGCCACTTTCTGGATCGACTAGAGTTCCACAGATGAAAAGAGAAAAAACATTCGATTTGTTTCCCCTGTTGGAGCATGAGTAGAAATATTGAAATAGATGATTGTTTCGTTCTCACTAGAAACTGGTGCTGCTATTAACGTTCTCATTGATTTTGACAAATCAACAGCATCATTAATGCTAATGTATAACGCATTTTGTTTTTGTAGTTTAGTTCGTATTTTGTGCGTTTTTCCTACAAATTAAAATATACTATTAATGCATTCGTCAGTTAGTCAGATCACGTAAAGTATAGTGCAAAATTCTTATATTTGATGTCAGCTGAATACTTACCGACGCTGGATTTTCCCGTGATTATTCTGATGTTAGGTTTAGTATATTGAGACAGGCGATTCAAATTTAGTATGGCATGTTCATGAGATTGAAAAGATAACCATGGTCGCATACCCTTCTGACATGTTAGATTATGTGAAAGATAATAAACTGGTGCATGACGATCCGTTCTTCTCAGTAATTCATTCTGTTCTTGTAGCACTATTTCTCGTGTCCGATGGTGCATTCTATCGATGTCAAGTACAACGAAAGATTTGTGTAGAAATGTACGGATTCTTCTAAAGAATAATTTTACATCGTCTTCTGATGCATTTTCACACCAAAGCAGTTGATAAGCATTTGGTAGGTCGTTTGAGAAACATTCAACGTTTCGGTATCTAAACTACTGTCAGGTCTCGTTGTAGGTGGAGCATTATCCTTTGAACTACGATGTAAAACAATCAGATACTGTTCTTTCATGTTGGTAACACCGCTTTGTTGTCGTGTTATTTTGAACATTAAACTGTAAGTTCGGTCCTGTCTGTCTTCCGTCAGGCATTGTAGCTTTATTTACAAACTCACACAGTTTCTGCAAGCACTGCTCAGCATCAGTATCGCTCCTCATACTGCATTCTTGGAGTAGTTGACTAATACGGATACGAGTTCTCATCTCGGATAGATCGACTTGACTGTTTGCGATCTTCACCATTCGTAGATAGTGGCTAATGAGGTCGATAATCAGATTTTCTTATTCACTACCTAGTTCTGTATTCTGATTAAAACAATGTTTTTTGTAAATTTTTGAGAGAAAACGATTTCTCGAATTATTTGGTGTTAATAAAACCAGCAACATCATTATTTGACGATTCGTCAGTAAATAAAGCCATTCGTTGAATCCACGATAGTGATCGAGTATTCGTATCCAGTCGTTTAGTGCTTGGTCCGATGTGATGTACATAGTATCAAACTTTTTCGTTCAACTATCAAGAACCGATTTCAGTTCATTCTGCTTTGCGATTTGAAACTGTTCTCTGCTTTCATCACCGACGTGAACTTCAGTATCTTTTAAACTTTGGAGAATGGATGCCAATGCTCTTGAGTTATCACCAATTGTATATACAATACATTGATCTTGGTATTGTGGATGTCCTTGATTTTCTAAACTTATCAAACTTGAGAACAAATTTTCCAATCTTTTGAGCAATTTCAGTTGTTGCACTAGCATGATTTTCTTTTGAGCTACATCACTGACGTCAACATTACAAAATGTTAACTGACGTTTGTGATCAGCAAAATCCGTCATTGACATTATCTGATGCGTTTTCTTCTTTGGTGGAGACTCATGGTCTTGGTCAGTGCTATCCGAATCATGTGGTTCTAGATAATATCGTATTTCAAAGTATGACTTTTCACCGACGAGGTGTTTTAAAAATACATATATCGTGCCCGTTTTGTACAAATATTCCATAATAATGATAGCATTTTCCAAGGAGCTCGAATCGCTCGATAGCCAGCCATTGATCAGCTGGAGATTTTTATAGCATATATCTAACTGATTTAGTGATTCGTCAACATTATTCAGTTTTTGTATTCGGGAGAGAAACTGCGACAACGATTGTGCTTTTAAACAAAACGGTTCACAAACCGTATGAATGATGATCAACGCGTTTAATACGAGGTTATTACGTTCTTGTAACTGAAATTGAGTTGTTAAATTATCTCTCAGTTCGAGAAAACGTCGTCGTCCATTTTGACTGTGCAACTCATACTTTTTGAACATAATTACTAACGGTGAATATTGAACAACGATTTTGATCAGTGTCATATGTTGATTAGTCAGTCCTCGAAATATATTATTCAGAGTTTTACTTGTGTCAGCTATATTGTTCGATGTGCTCCTATTTTCACTAATGAATGTTTGCAGAGTGGTTATTACTTCATCCTGGTCATCGATAATACCAAAACTCGTTATACAATTGAGTAATATTGGAATAAAATTACAATACTGATACATTTGCAAATACTGACATACCTCGTCAATTTGATTTTCATTGATGTTGATCTGTCCAGTGGTACTGGCTGCGAGTTTTCTGAGTTCATTTCGAATGTTCATATCATTGAATAGAACGGACTCGAGTTTAGACAGTTGATATGCACTGAATGAGCCACTCAATAGTTTATCGATATATTCGAATACATTTATTAAAAAAATTAGC